TATGTGATCAATCTATCTGCAGTGATCAGTGTAATATGTGATTGATCTATCTGCAGTGATCAATCTAATATGTGATCAATTTATCTGCAGTGATCAACCTAATATGTGATCAATCCTCTGCAGCAGGTTCTCTGCTGCTGTGTAGTTAATGTGTTGTTGCGTGAATAAGTGGTGAAAATAATGCGAATATAGTTATGGAAGTTATTTATAGTATTAGTGAATGATCAGAACGAGAAGAAGTAATGCTGTTGCGCAGAAAAAATTTGTTGCGATTGTGTGTGGTGGCGTTGGTGGTTTTTTTGGTGACGATGCAGTTGATTGCACGATTTTGGAATCAGAGTGCGGTCAAACGCGGGGGTGTGCAGGTGATAGCAGTCGATGATCTGGTGGTACCACCAGTCAATGATGTGGTACCACCAGTCAATGATAACAAAGGCTCTAGTCATCGTGATTATGATGAGAATAACAATGATAACTATACTGATAATGGTGACGGCACTAGAAAGCCGAAAATAATCCTCCAATGGACGCGTGTATTCCGTCTACCCATGCCACTGGCATCAATGGACGAATGCTCGTTTACACCCGAAGTATGTTTCTGATGGATTTATTTGTTGTTTTCATATTGTTCGTATTCGAGAAGGAAGGCTGTTGTTTTTAAGGCTTTTTTACTTTGGGAGGGGGGGGGGTCGCATGCGAGCAAGCTCGCGCATGCCACTTGGCCTACTGCGCATGGCTTCAGCCTAAGGTGACCTCAGCCTCATCTAAGCGTAGCCTCAGATCGCTTGATGCTACAACAGAGGCTAGCAAGCTAGCTCAGGCTTAGGCTTAGGCGGAGACTACGCTTAGCAGGCTGAAGCCATGCGCAGTGGGCGTGGCTTCGGTCCATGTGAAAGCGTCGTTCGTAGTGTGCGAGCGTGTCTTTATCGTTGTACGCGAGCTTGCTCGCGTGCGACCCCCCCCCTCCCAAGTAAAAAAGTGCCGTTTTTATTGTTAATGTTGTTGTGATAGATTCACTAAATTTGCAGAAGGTGGGTTTAGTGGTGGCATTTTTTTACTTGGGGGGTTCCGCACTCGAGCACGCTCACGTTCAAACGAACGATACACACATACGCCCACGCAAACCATGAATGACGACGCTTTCAAATGCGCCGAGGCCACTTGGCCCACTACGCATGGCCTCAGCCTAAGCCTGCTGAACTCGCCGGCTAGCCCCCGTTGTGACATCGAGCCATCTGAGGCTACCAGGCTTAGATGAGATTGTGGTCACACTTATTGTTAGGCTGAGGCCATGCGCAGTAGGCCAAGTGGCATCGATTGTCGCACGCGAGCGTGCTCGCATGCGTGCATCCCCCAAAGGAAAAAAGTGCCCCATATGAATGCGTACGTGTCTGTTGTGCAGAAAGCCTCATCAGCACGTTGATTTAAGGCCAAAACCTGAA